GTTGATACATACTTAATACCTATTGAGTATTGATTCAATATTTCAGTATAGCAAGCATGTGTGATGTTTTTTTTTAAATCTAAACCTCATGCGTGTTTTTKGACATGACTTTACTTGGCGTACAAATGCAAAAACATGCGGAGAAAAGTCCCAAAACATCTTAAACTACATTCTTTTGCGATACAATTATTTTGCACGAACCTTTTACTTCGATGATATGAGGCTTTTGACCGGGAGCATGAGTTCGGCTCATCACTGTTAGTGATGACACATGAGCAACGGACCTGACAGTCGCGGCGCTCATCCATGGAGCACCAATCACGCCGCACATCAGATTGATGCAATTTACTAGTACGATATCCAAGTGAAACCCGCTACCTTTCTGAAGTTTGCGTTCTTTTTTGGCAATAATTAGCCTGTGAACAGATAGAATGGTCAGTTGTGTTTTAAAGGTATATACAGCATGTTTCACTGGCGCTAGCTCCAAGTACATCAAAGTTATTATGGGTACGTACTCGCTGATATGGGTTTCCATAAACATGAGAATATAGACGAGTATGGCCGGCACAATTGCAACGAAAGGCACCCAGGGTTCAACGGGACTTTTTAATCCGCTGGGTGATATGAACCACCCACGTGCTGTTGGATCCGACGGMGTCAAACCTTCAGGAACTTTGAGCTTTTCTGTATAAGTAGTTGAATTGAAATAGTCAGCGGCTACCATCGATATAATGGCTATGGGCACGCCAAAATCACCCAACGCTCTACGAATCTGAAATTATTACAATACCTATTATAGATGATGTATTGGCCAGAGGCCGACCCCAGTTAGGAAAACAAAGGGCATTAATATTACGTATCCTAAAACCCATAGCTCCTTTACTTAATTTTGTTTCATTCAATTTATTTTTTAATAAATTAACAAGTCAAGTTTTGCGTCCCATTCAAACTGGCATAAGCATTTGTAGCTTGTAGGTATACAAAACAATTCGATCCGTATGATCCATATATCATGTAAAAATTAATTAATGAAACATAATATTGTAAAATAGAACAGAGTTCCTCAATTTATAGACTATACTTTATCGAAATTAATAAAGACATATTTTATTATATGATAGAAAATTCACTCACATTTCTTCCAAGAAATTTGCTATTTCTGAAATGTCGAAGGTAATAAGCAACGAAAAATGTTCCCAGTGCTAAGATAGTGCACAGTAGTGCAGTATTTGGCTGCTTTGTGATCATAGGTTGATGATCTATTGGGTTAAACAATTCTGTATCGCTAAACAAAATTTTTATAGGTTCCATTTTAATCATGATAATGATTTTATTAACAATTTGTACAATAATTAAACTGCAAATATTCATAATTAGAGAATTCAAAAAATATATAAATATCYGTTTAAAATTAAAATATAAACAAATTTCATTTAACACATATTGTAACGAAAAATAACTATAATTCAACTTGTCATATATTTATATTCATATTGAAGTTGTTAAATATTAAATACCTACAATAAAAACATTCCATGATRAAAGAACAAAACACTAAATAGGTTTTTACTTTTCATTGATAAATTCAGTTTTTTTATAGCATGTTAGTGAATGTTATATTTTAATTTAAAATACAAGAAAAAACAAATACTTATTTTTTATTCTTTATATGGCTATCAAATATTAATAATTAATATGAAAACAATAAAGTTGTATAAACCAAATTTTTTTTTTTTAAAGTTGATTATAACAAACGAATCAAGCACTCACTTGTATGTAGAATTATAGGAAGTAGAGTTTGAGAGAGAAATGTAATTTTCACTGCCTGACAAATTATTTTCTTTACAATACTCCTTCAATGGTAATAGCGGATGTTTGATAAATACCTTTAAAAATAMAATAATTTTACTTTGCAAATACATTTAATATTTAAATATCCTACATACGAATGTATTCTATAATTTTGTTGAAGCATAAAATTAAAGAAATAACCACAATTACTATACTTACGTTAAAGCATTTTGATAAGCTCTCCCATATGTAAATTAGCGATATGAGTGACGCAAAAATTTCTTCCGTAAACCTTGTGAATACTTTTACTAGMACACTGCCTTCGACGCAACTAACAATTAGTGCAATGATTACCAACCATATGCCAATGTAAACTCTCATAGGTAAGAATTCAATGTCGTTACTGCGACAAAACTGAAAAATACATAATAAATAAGCACGATCGTTTTAGAGTGGTGTTTAGATGTAAAAAAGAGATTCAAAAACTATCCAACTACMCTAAACGCATACTCACAATAAATAATGCTTCGTCAAAGAGCAATAAAGGTCCAGTAGTTCCTACTATCAATAACGGCTGTCCAGAAAACAGGGAGAATATGACACCAGAAACAGATGTGGCAACTAAAGTTTCTGATATCCCGATGAAATTTTTGGTTTTATCCGCTGAAAAAAATTATGTGAAAACAATGGAATGTTTAAAAATGGCAGCAATTTTTCACTTAATGRGTGAAATCAATGAGAGTTTGTTAATCTAYAATTATTGAGATATTATACTGACCCATAAGACCACCAAATGTGATTGCTGCTGACAGAGCAGCAAAGTATATGAATATTGCAGATGCTATACACTGTAAATTTAACCCTTGAATGAAGTCGGATTTGTAGTACGGTAATCGACGTCTAATGTCCTTCACTAAACCTCCCCAAGGTTTTTTGGTCCGTCTCAAAGGGTCATCTTTGTTATCGTCGCTCTTTTCACTTGAAATTGAAGTTAAGGTCGCGACTAAAAACAGACCATAAACTTGTTATTATGATATATTACTTAATTTATTTATCAAATAAAAATGTATCATCGATGGTCCATAGCAATAMCGGATAAAAATTGTTTATCRACAATATTCTACCTTTTTGTGAAGCTGCGCGTGTTTTACGCCTCTTGATCTGTTCGCTTTTTTCCTTGAGTTCTCGTAAAGATAGTAATTCTTCTCTTTCCCAATCACATGGTGGCAATACAATACTGCTGTCGAGAAACTCGTTCAGTAAACTTATCAGTTCTTTACGTTCTGCCGCTTTGTACGCTTTGCAATGAAATTCCTATAATCATTATAAAATAAATAATGAAAATCGTTTAACTTGTTCACTAAACATAGAATTTCAGCAGTTTTAATACAATTTCTTAAGCTGTGTACTGTGTACTATTTGGTACCTATGTAATTACATTTTTTTAGTGGTTATAATCATATAACATAACTTACAGAATTTGACATTAAAGTTGACATCGATCTTCCAACTTCATGATAATCGATATCCTTTGGATCAGGAGGACCCAAAAGTATAAACATAAATCGTACTGGTATTGTAACTTCAGTCAATGAAGGTATTACAATACCTTCAGCTAAACGTACAAAAGCTGCAGTTCTTTTTTTTAAAAAATCTACAGAACCAACTAACACCGTAGTAGCTTCAGCACCAATTGGTATTCGTTTAAGAATACTTTCCTTTTGAGCTCTTTTCACCATGTCTTCGGTTGATGAGGTATAAGTCTCTTCTTTCATATCAATATTAATATGATTTTTATCCAAGTCTAGGAAAGATCGATTGTTGTTGTTATTGTTAAATCCAAATTTAGGGCTTGAATGCATTTCATGACTCGAAACAGTACTTTTCATTTTTGACTTTCCATCGTCATTCAGATTCTATAAATAAAAAACGGTAATTACTATTACCTTTAAAGTAATTGGAACGCATAGAATATAACTAATTTATATACTATTGAGTTTAATTACTAMTTGGTATTAATTATTTTGAAAAAATTGGAAATCTAAAAAATTATGAGTAAACTACATAATTAAAGCATCGCATTATGTAAAATACTAATATATTGATTTTTAGACATATATTAGATAGTTTAATAGAAAAAAGCATATCGTGATTATGTTATAAATCGGCCTATAGCCTCAATCTGAAAGAAATGTTTAAAAAAGCGATTCAAATATAGTTGTAGCTGGTGAACACTTGTCAATCAAGAGATTTAAACTAAATATTCTATTCTACAATAAAACAAACAATACAATTCCTAAACGATGTTAATGATTTAAAACGAATGATGCACATTATTATTATTATTATTATTATTATTATTGTTATTATTATTAATAAAGGTATTTATATTTAACTAAGAGACTGATAGTTTACATTGTGTGTAAGTGATGCCGACCGCTTAGCCAGAAATTCTGCCTCAAATTGCTGTCAGAAAAACAATATTTAAACAAAATTATAGACATACCTATTATTAAATCTTATAAAAATAATCGTGGCTTTCATAATAGATATTTCAAGATTTAAGATTTAAAAATATTGTATTTATACATATATATATATATATATATATATATATATATACGTTCAGCAGAAACATATAGGTAGCAAACATTTAATTTGATATCAAAATGATTATTTTTTAATTTATTTTTTAATAATTTATAAAATCCTTGAAGATAAATAAACAATCCAAATAATAAACGATATTCTGAAGCCATTTTAAAATAAAATGATTTCATAAACAAAAATTACCGTAAGACTTGTGTAGCTGGATGTATTTCGTCTAATAAACCTACTAAACTTGTCGCTGTCTTGTTGAACGTGTTTATGTCTAAGCAACAACAATCTCATGACCGCAGATTTGTCTTCTAGGTTAATAAGTTCCTCGATAGCCATTTGTTCAACCACCCGATATACAACACCAGGTAGATCTTTTTCTTCCAAGTCCAGTAAAATCACACCTTTAGCAAAATTGTCATTATTTATATTTCGTGATACTAGTTCTTGGTGGTGGGTATTGCTAACGTATTTAAGAACTCACCTGACTCCAAAGATCTCCGCACGTTCAACAATGAATGGAAACTCAAAGACGCCACGTGTGGACGTCCCCATCTGTCCGTGCCTTCTTGCACGTCTTCCTCGTACTTTATCCACCGAGCAGTTTCTTTCCATTCCCGTTCTTCTCCAGTACCTTTTAACTCGTCTAGTTGAACAAAAACCTGAACAAAGAAGTCAATCATTGAGAAAATATACACGTGAACAGCGCGACGCATCAATAAAAACAATGCACATTTAATCATAAAAAGTGTCTCAACGAGCACTATACATGAATATTATAATCATAATCATAGTAGTAAAAATAATAACGTACCGCATGAGGACTATGATCTACGTATTTCTTAATCACTTTTATTGGCAAGCCTGTGATTAAATTCCCCTCTATATCTCCAGCGTACGGAACCAAAAAGGAACTTTTATTTTTGCCGCTGAATCTCCGTTTTTCTTTATTGCAGTCGTATCGATGACCTACGAATATTAATTAAAATAATTATATTATATTTAAAAAAAAAATGTCTAATATTTTGATTAATACTTATATTTTTTACATTTACATTTATATTTACACGAAAAARAATCACTGCCATATTGATTAAGGTAATGAATGTCATTAATATGTCAATCATATTATTCAGGTGTATGCAATAAATAAATCTAAGATTAATGCAAGTTACCGAATATTTGTGGTTAATATAAATATTGACACTAAATTATGAAATAACTATAATTAGCGATGTAGTTTAAAATGTATTTATTCAAATAATAATACAATAAAAGGAGTGGCGTTTTGAATAACATCCAAGTACTGTATCGTGTATTAACTTTAAGTATTCGGTAGTTTATGAAAATATAATATTAAGTGTCATCGAAAAGATAATAAGTTGTTTAATTATCAATTAAAAAGGTACTTTATCGATATTTAAAACGAATACTATGCATATATGTWACATACATATCTACGTTTATTATAAGAGTGTAAATATCTAAAATATTAAATRGGTATTATATGTTTATTCTTTACAAAGCAACACTGTACCATATGAACGAGTCTGCTTTGTGTTTGTCTTCGTCTAATCTAATTTGTATAATATCCTGATATTGTCAATATTATTTAATGCTAGTTTATAAGTTTATAACACTTAGACTATGCCAAATAAAATAAACCAAATATTAAAAATAAGCATGTAATAAAAAATGAATAAATATCAATAATATAAAAACCATTCAAAGCTATTTTCAGAAAAGTTTTCATAACTGCAGAGCTTAGGTCATAACCTATTGCTTCTTATTTTATTATTACACATAAGTATTAAATATACAACAACCAAACAAATTTTTTCTTCATTACATTTCGGTAAATAATGTAATTTTCGTAATAAATGCAAAATACATAATTAGGTAAAAATCATGTTTATATAGTCAAATATTCAATTAATAATTTGTTATTACTACATAATGTTAAATATCTATGGATTCTAGAGAATAAATTGGAACTTTTAATAATTATATGTTATTGTCTATTATCTTTTTATATATTAATATTATTTAAGTGAAATAGGTACTGATAAATAAGAATATATTTTTTTTTTCAAATGAAATTTACAATCTGCACCTAGTGAAATAATAAGTGATACAAATATATACATAAAAGATAAAAGGTCGTAATTCAATTAATTAGTTAATCACATAGAGAGAAAAATAAAGTTTAAATTAACTGAACGTAGAACTATGCATATTTTGTGAAAACATTCACATAACACTAACACATTCATCAGAAGGGATTATTTTTCCAGCAGGTCCTGATACCATTTAACCTTCTTGAGGGGTTACCGGACATTTTGGAGAAGTGAATTTTTACAAATTATAATAATGTATTCGTAATTAAAATATTGATTATTGACATTTGTATGTGATTCATTCTTTTTTTTTATTTAATATGTTGTAAACAGTTAAAACTTAAAATTAATTTTAAAATGTTTTTACTTGTTAAATCGTCTTGAATGAACTCATCTAAATTTTCATCGATTTGTAAATCATCCTTTGGTATAAAAATGTCTCGTTCATTATTCCTATGTCGACTATGATGACGATGATGATGTCTTCATTAAAAAAAAGAAACATACCGTGAATACAATTCAAAAAGATATAAATAAAACAAAATATCACCAATTACATTTTAATTTTGATAGATACAATATATATATAAATATATATAAGTAGACAATACCATACAATAATAAAAATAAATATATTATGCAAGTTATGAGTTTAAACTCAATGATTTTTTGATTTATGGGTTGTCAATAGCAAGGTAAATCTGGCAGAACTTGAAATAATAGATTTGAATTCCAGAAGATAAATTTTACTTGTTAATTCATCATAATATACCTAATGATTCATTAGTTATGAATAATTATCAATATTTTAGTTAAAATATTATGCTTTACCTAATAAAAAAAGCTAATCACAGCTACCTAACTAAATTTTGAGCGATTTGTATCAGTTAATTGTTTTTAATTGCTCAAATTTAAGGAATAACTAAGAAAACTATAAAATCTATATAGCCATATAGGTAAGGATATAACAAAAATAGTAAATTTAATGTTGGCTTAAAACAGTTCAGCCGGTTGAAATTCTAAAACCAAAAATTTTAATAATACTATTTAAAACTTTTTAAAATACATAATATAAAGTCAAATATACTATTGTGTAGCATATAGATAGTGATAAATTATGATATGCTTGTTGTTTAATATTAACATGTCAATGAATATATAATAAATAATAAAAACGTAAAACGTAAAAAAGTAAAAAAGAACACCTACCTGTGTTTACGTTTCTTTTTCTTAAGTTCTTGAAGTGGTTCTTCTTGTGCATTTTTACCAAGTTCTCTATGTTCATTGTAAGCTTCTTCTTCATTTTTCTCATCTATAATTTGATACGAAAAATGTGCAAGATATAAGTAGTGTTTATTTTTATTAAATTATTTAAAAACCTTTGAAACAAAAAAATTTTTTTTCCGAAAAATCCTATTATAATATGTTCATTTCAATATACAGCATGTAACAGAACTATCTGATAAATGTTAGTAACTAAAACTCATGGTATTCCAAAACAAACATTGGTGAAGATATGGCTAACGATATTAATATTAGAAATAATCCAGTACCATCTGTATTCTTGATTTTTTCAAAAGTTATCGCTGATGTTTTATTTTATTTTAGTTTTTAATTTTATTTATCATTAATTTATATGTATACTGCTCAAAAATAACTATGTACACTATAATTAATGAATATTAAACTGTACCTAATTAACAACTCATGGGATGAGTAGTCCGCTTTAAAATATTTTATTTATAAAGTTGTRCTTATAAGTTACAAATTTTTTCTAATCAATGTAGGTAACGTTTTTCTTTTTAGATATTATATATAATTAATAACTAACATATTAAAATATTATTAATATTTAAATAAAAAATATCAGTTAGTTCATTACATCTGTCAGTTATTTCTATTACACTATATACTTTATAACATTAAAGTGAAAACACGGAATAGGGGTGAAATATTCAAGTCAAATGCATAAATGTATTAGTGAATAGTAATAAGTAGTGATAAGGTAAAGGTTTCTTTTAAACGTAAAAGATGTCGAATTCAATATCAGCGTGATGAATAATCATCTCATATTATAAAGAATACATTATATATATATATATATATATATATATCATTATAAGCAGTATCGTATCCACAGGTCACTTTATCGTAGAAGCCACGGATACTTTATTCAAAAATGAAATTATATTTCCAATAACTATTCTCTAAAAAATAAAAATAATACGTCACTCAAATGGTATATATATATATCTGTTTTTTCGAGCACTTGAAACAAATATTTAGCCCGAGATGCATCAGTATCATTGCCGATAATCTACGAATGACACTAAGGTCTTAGACAAAATCGTCAATATAGTATACTGTGGAAATAGGTAGTTATTCAATATCCGTTTTACCAGGGTGGATAATATATAGTTATTTTTTTTTCATGCATAGTTTTAATGGTATAGTTTTTATTAACATATTTATCAGATATTTTAATTATAGGCTAGATTTTGCATAGTATGTAATCAAATCCAAATTTGATACCCTTAAAAAACTATGCGGAAAGAAATTTCGTATTTGCAAATTATTTTAATAATCGGGATAGCTAGCATAACATAACATTAACAAACAAATTAAGAAAAAATACAAGTTCCTATATACCCTATAACTTRATAGTTAATTATAATCAAAGTCTCTGTGTAGCCAATTAACAATGTAGCAATATAATCTAAGACATTAAAACAACATGGGAGAGTTTCCTTTTGTAAAACACAATATTTACCCAAGAGAATTTACCATCGACACTCGGGAGGGTTAGTAAAAATCGTTTATAAAAATCAGAATAATTTACATCACAATCGGAAAAGTTATCACCGTCTATATGACTTCAAACATTACAAATAAAAGTAACGTCAGCACTAGGTTGATAAGAATGAYAATGTTAATAATAAGTCTATATTATGAACGTTTCGACAGGGAAAATACTATTCAACGAGTGTTGACAGGCGCACGTATGTGATATTATGTTTCAGACACTCACTATATTATAAATTATTCCACGCACGAAGTATAATGTTTTTAAAATAAATTATTATTATTATTAAAAGAATTTTTTCAACAAGTTCACTCTCTAATCACTATATACGGGCCACAAAATTATTCCTCGTCGTTTTTAATTATATATATATTTGTAACCTAAAAAAAGGAGGGTAAGTC